TGCCATTATATAATTCTTCCTACAAGAGTTTTTGGGAAGCTATTCTCAACACCAATTTTGTAACCAGCTAAAAGTCTAATATATTCCTCTAACCCCAAACCTCTCAAATTAAAATAAATTCGTTTCAATACTATCTAATTTTTTTAATGTACCATGATATTATTTTTGAATGGTATTTGTCATCCCCCAAAGTATTAGAGATCACTGAGCTATAATGAAAATGTAGTAAAATGTGGCTTTTAATGCAAGCAGCAATTCTGAGACTTATCTGGTTAGATTGAGTTTCCAAGCACAAATGTAAAATTTGTTTTCTACACACACAAACACACAAAACTACTGTTTTGTTTTGTTTTTGCTAGAATGCAGTGGCAGCATCATAGCTCAACACAACCTCCAATTCCTAGTCTCAAGCAATCCTCCTGAGTAGCTGGGCCCACAGACACGCACCACCACACCTGGCTAATTTTTCTATTTTTTGTAGAGACGGAGTCTAGCTCTTGCTCAAGCTGGTCTTGAACTCCTGACCTCAAGCAATCTGCCTGTCTCAGCCTCACAAAATGCTAGCATTATAGGTGTGAGCCACTGTACCCTGCTTCTTAAAATAAGTTTACCCTTTGTTCATACTCTGAGAATATAAAAAGTATTAATACTTTCTAAGACAATTACCTATTTTGCTGGACTACAGGCATGCACCACCGATGCCCAGCTAATTTTTTGTATATATGTTTTTAGTTGGTCAATTAATTCTTTCATTTTAGTAGAGAGCGGGTCTCGCTCTTGCTCAAGGCTGCTCTGCAACTCCTGACCTTGAGCAATCCTCCCGCCTCAGCCTCCGGAGTGCTAGGATTACAGGCGTGAGCCACCACACCGGCCTAAATGCAATTTCTTAGATACTAGTATTCAAATAATCTTCTTGGTTCAGTAAGTGATCTAACAATATGCTAGCAAATATTGAGCACTTACTATGGCCTAAGCACCATAATCAGCTTTTACATGGATGGCTATTTAATTCCAGAATTCTGGGGTAGGTATCTCCATTTTACCACTGAGGAATACAAAACCAAGAAGAAGCTAATAACTTAATCAAGGCTGTCAGATTAGAGATGAACCAGGTTTGAACTAATCTACTCAACTGTTGATATATTATACAAGGAAAGTGATTTATTTGTAATAAAATCATTTTACAGTGGTTGTCACTTCCATAATACATATCTATGTTACTGATTGAGGGGTTCTCTATTTTTCAGTTAATATTACTCTTCAGAATTAACTTCCTAATACAATTACTTGTGAAAAAAACTAATGAATATTTCTTAAACAAATATACAATAGTATCTTTTACTTACAATAACTAAAGATATTTAGTTTAACAATATTTTTTCTAATCTAAATTCACTACATAATACTTGCTGTATGGATATTTACAAAATATCTACTCAAGTCTTTCCAGTAAAGATGTATACAACTCAGGAGCAAATAGAGATGGATATCCTATAATCTGGAAAACAACAATAGTCCAATATTGTCCTTGTCCGCAATGTTATTCCTTAAATGCTGAAAAGCACGTGTGCAATTGTTTGTTATTGTATATTTTATATAATAATAATTGTAATTTAGTAGCTCTCCTCAGTTACACATGGTCTTAAAGAGTAAAGGCTAGTTTCCTTGTAGAATTCAAACCACTATTAACATTTTACCCATTTCAATAATTTTCCCTCATAATATATATGAACTCCATAATCTGTATCACTATGAAACAGCATTTAACCTGAACGGTATTCTTTAACCTTAACTGTAAAATTAAAGATAGATACAGAACTACGATGTGAAGAACACTTGATCTTATTTTAGATTCAGTAGAAGCTTTGTATTTTAAGTATATTTATATTATAGTTGTGCATTTATTACAGAGCAGAAACTTGAAAAGCAAAGAATTAACATTATGTATTTTAGCAAATGAGTAATATTTGTCTATCTAAAACAAGCTATTTGAGTATGTATTCTAAAGTTGTACATCTTTTATATAAAAATGCAATCATCAATAACACTACATCAAAAACCTGGCTGTTTTTAAACAGCCAATGAAAAGCTTGCCATAAACACTACTTTCAGACCTGGTATATATTTGTTCATATGGCTGTCTATCCAACTCCTGCCACAGTGCGTGGAACATAACAAGCACTCTAGAAAGGACTGGTGAATGATTAGAGCACCTGGGATGAAACTGCAGCTCGTGGCCTCATTAACCAAATGAACTGTTCAACCTACACAATCAAGTGGCTTATAAAAACAACGACACCGCCAGGACTGCATCTCTCTAAAAACACGGAAGCTCATCCTCAGGATAAAGACATACCATCACATCTGAAAGAGAACTGCATTACTCTTGAATTTGATTCAATAGGAAGACGATCTTAGTAACTAAAAGGTCCAAAGACAAGAGGTCATATGCACTGAGACCATAAAGATTGCAATATTCACTATTTTCATTAATATCAAAAAAATCTATAGCCAGAACTCATATTGCTTAAAAAAATGGTTGATACTTTAAATCATAAAATCATTATGGCCAAATCATTGCCTTTAAAACAAGGAAAAACATGGGAAAGCCAATGTATTAAATGTAAGCGAAAAGATATGAGCTCATAACACAGTGAAGTTTATAACACCGGCATAAATAAAGGAAAAATTTAACACAATCCAAACATTTAAGACAAATATTCACTTTTACAGGTGAATCAAAAACTGGCCATCCAACTGGCAAGTAAAATACATACAAAAATAAACATTGAGAATAAGTGGCAGCCATTAAAGAAATATATAAAAGGAAATACCATTGAGATGTCTGGTAAATCTGCGAGGTCCAAGAAAGAATAAATGTCTTCACAAACTGCTATCCAGAATAGACCTAGAAACCAAGGGTAACATAGGAGTATTGAGCTATTTTTAAATGGCATAGGATTATATAGGTACTTCTAGCTACATGGTACCTAAAACCAAAGGACTCACCAAAGACAGCAGTCAATTCTTAAAAGGATAAATTTATCATTCCCTTTTTAGTATATAAATGAATGTAAACACAAGTAAAGGCAATATTCAAAGCTAAATACCAAATCAAACAGAAAAGTGGGAAAATATAATATTAAAAACAGTTTAGCAAAGAAAGGCAAAATACCAACAAAAACAACAATAAAAACAAACAAACCTAAAATAGGTCGGCAGGGTGGCTCATGCCTGTAATCCTAGCACTCTAGGTGGGAGGATTGCTTGAGCTTGGAATTTGAGACCAGCCTGACCCAAGACCCATCTTTACTAAAATAGAAAAATTAATTGGCAAGGCTGAGGCAGGAGAATTGCTTGAGCCCAGCAGTTTGATCAGTGAGCTATGAAGACACCACTGCACTCTATCTGGGACAACAGAGTGAGACTCTGTCTCAAAAAACAAACAACAAAAAACCCTCAAGTAAGAAAAAGGATAAAAGGCAAGAAAAGCAATTAAGACAGAAAACAGTCTATCAGAAACTGGAAGATGAGGCTGCTTTTAAGACCATACTAAAAAGACAAAAAACAAAAATATCACTGGAAAGACGAATATGATACTCCAAAGGCAGAAGAATGAAAATATGAGGAAAAAATTTTTCTAAAATTACAAATAAAAGTGCCCAATCCAACAATCTCTTTGAGGAAAGAGTCATTCATTATCTTTCTGTCCTTTATCTAATAAGGACCTGGTATTAGTGCTCAATAAATATTTAAAATTAATGCTTATATTTTGGATATGTATTGCTGAGAGACTAGGCTAGTGAATTTCTGGCTTTTAATTACTAATGAAAATGATGAAATGAAACTTCAAAGTAATTGTGAGGGCCGATGAAACCTGAGAATTTCCTTATAAAAATCAGAATTAAACTGCCCTTTATTCATTTAAGATTTTTTTTTTTACTTATAGCAGTTGACTAATGTATAATAAAAAGAACACTGTCGATTGAAATCCATTCCAAGTTACCACCTATGAAACCTTGGGCAATCATTTCACTGCTCTGGGTTTCAACTGTAAATGGAGGTTGGTTAGGTTGATGATCTTACAGTTAAAATCTTATAATCACGAGTATATTAATAGATTATTCTAGGTAATCAATAGAATAACAAATTCTAAAAATTGATAAAATATAAATTTGATATCAGGGCCGGGCACGGTGGCTCACGCCTGTAATCCTAGCTCTCTGGGAGGCCAAGGCGGGTGGACTGCTCGAGGTCAGGAGTTCAAAACCAGCCTGAGCAAGAGCGAGACCCGTCTCTACTATAAACACAAAGAAATTAATTGGCCACTGAGTATATATAGAAATAATTAGCCAGGCATGGTGGCCATGCCTGTAGTCCCAGCTACTTGGGAGGCTGAGACAGTAGGATTGCTTGAGCCTAGGAGTTTGAGGTTGCTGTGAGCTAGGCTGACGCCACGGCATTTACTCTAGCCTGGACAACAAAGCGAGACTCTGTCTCAATAAAATAAATAAATAAATAAATAATAATAATAAGTTTGATAACAAGATTATGGGTTAATACTTTGGGTCACAACTGGGTTAATACAAGTGGAATAATATTAGTACCAGATAGTGCTCCACAAGCATTTATCTGATTGATATTCAAACCTCCCCAACTAGTGGTTATAACAATAATGATAGCAAATATTGAATGTTACAATGCTTAATCCCCACAACAAGCCTAGGGTATAGGTACATTTATTATCTTCATTTTATAGATGAGGAAAAGAGGTCAAACTTGTCCAAAGTCCATAACTAGTAAGTAGCCAAATCAAGATTTAAATCCCAGTGGTCTGACTCTAGACCATTAGTCTGACTGAAATTAAATGTGCAAAAAAAGGCTAGGAAGAAAAAATTTAATATTTCCCATATAACTTCATCCTACTTTCTAGCTCCAGAAGAGATTCCCATCTTTTTTTTATTCTTTTTTGCTTATGTAACCAACTTAAAAATACTTACTCTGAGCCTGCAGCCATTTCCAAGTATGACGTTTCTGCTGTATCAACCCCCAATGGGATCACTATGCTCATGACGTTCGCCTCTGGTAAATTCGATTACTATGGAGTCCTATGCATTGGTATCCAAAACACTGGGGCATGCCAGCCACAGTGCTCATTGCAAACATCTAAGTGCATCCACAAACCCTGTTTAAAACAAAAAGAAACAAAAAGAATCATCTTCATATTTCTAGCAACTATAACAGTAAGTAAAATACATAAATCATTTTTTTATTAAAATCTCAATATAAATTGGAGTTTGCTCAGAGAGTCTCTGTTTCATTTATTTTTCTGGAATTAAGTTATGTGACCTGTATCAAAAGAGAAGTTTCTCAATAACAATCTTCCTTAGGGAATGAATTTAGGATGCCACAAGAAGAATTATTGTGCACATTATTTAGTGAAGAACTAACAATTATTCATTTTAAAAGATAAAATGGAATTTCTTTTTTTTTTGAGACAGAGTCTTACTCTGTTGCCCAGGCTAGAGTGCCGTGGCATCAGCCTAGCTCACGGCAACCTCAAACTCCTGGGCTCAAGCGATCCTCCTGCCTCAGCCTCCCGAGTAGCCTGGGACTACAGCATGCACCACAATGCCCAAGCTAATTTTTTTGTAATATGTTTTTAGTTGGTCAATTAATTCTTTCTATTTTAGTGAGACGGTCCGCTCTTGCTCAAGGCTGCCTGCAACCCTGACCTAGCAATCCTCCCGCCTCAGCCTCCCGGAGTGCTAGGATTACGGCGTGAGCCCACACCCGCCTAAAAGCAATTTCTGAGAACTAGTATTCAAATAAGTCTTCTTGGTTCATAAGGTACTAACAATATGCTAGCAAATATTGAGCACTTACTTGGCCTAAGCACCATAATCAGCTTTACATGGATGTCTATTTATTCTCAGAATTCTGGGGTAGGTTCCCATTTTTACCACTGAGGACAAAACAAGAAGCTAATAACTTAATCAAGCTGTCAGATTAGAGATAAAACCAGGATTTGAACTTATCTACTAACTGTTTGATATATATACAGGAAAGTGATTTATTTTTAATAAAATCATTTACAGTGGTTGTCACTTTCCATATACATAATCTATGTTATGATTGAGGGATTCTATTGTTTCAGTTAATATTACTCTTCAGAATACTCCTAATACAATTACGTATAGAAAAAAACTAATGTAATTTCTTAACAAAATACAATAGTATCTTTAACATTACAATACTAAAAGATATTTAGTTAACAATTTTTTCTAATCTAATCACTACATAATACTTGGCTGATGGATATTTTACAAAATATCTACTCAGTCTTTCCAGTAAAGATGTATACAACTCAGGAAGCCAATAGAGATGGGATAATCTATATCGGAAAACAACATAGTCCCAATATTGTCCTTGTCCGCAATGTTTTCCCTTAAATGCTGAAAAGCGGTGCATGTTTGTTATTTGATATGTTAATAATAATAATTGTATTAGAGCTCTCCTCGTTACACATGTCTAAAGTAAAGGTATCTTGTAGTTCCTTGTAGAATTCAAACCACTTTAACAATTTACCCATTCAATAATTTCCCTCATTAATATAGAACTCATACTGTATCCTATAAACACATTTAACTGACGGTATCTTTAACCTTAACTGAAAATTAAAGATAGATACAGAACTAACGTATGAAGAAACACTGACTA